TTCAAATACTTTTTGATTTTTCCACAATTGACATGTTTCTTCTGTTGTTCATAAGTCATTGAAATTATCATGTAGTAATTAGCTATTTTTTCACAAATTATCCAGCAGTGTTTAAACGATTTTATCACAAATTCTATGATCCAAAAGGGAGTGTGTGTGAAATCCGTGATGATTAAAACCTTACATGAGCCTCTTTGCTGTCTTCAGCACCACATGAGAGGACCTAGGGGGAATTTCTAATGACTCAGGCACCTTAGGAAACTCAGAAAAAGTCACCACTCATCCCCTTTTTGTGGGGTCTTCTGTTTTCCTCATGATGTCTGAAGAGTCATTCCTCTCAGGTGCAGAGCAGAGATGAGACGAGATGAATCATTCTTCTACCTACCCCGGGACGTCTACATATTTGATTCTTCCTTAACTCCCTTTTTCTCTTCAAACATTCACCTCATGTAAAATGTTGATTTTTCTGGGCACTAACTGTTGTCTCACAAGATTGTAACCATTTGCCTCACTGCGCACCCCCTTGTTCCTTTCTTGCTGTATGTCCTCTCCCCTTCAATACTGAGTTCCCAGATCCCTCTTCAGTGAGCACAGGTCAAGAGCTTCTGTTTTTGCTTTTTCTGGGAGCGTCCTCAAACTTTAGCTTAATAAACCTCCACGAGTTGGGGGAAAAAAACCTATGAATATTCTTTGATAATAAACACATTAAAAGTTGAGCTGGCATTATAAGATACAACCAATATGTAATTTTTCTCCATACTTTTTGTAAGTTAAGCTGGGAAATATCTGGATCTCATTCTTTTCCATATTCTGATCTGTTGGAACTGCCGTCGGTAGGAGCACCAACAGATCAGAATATGCCAAGCAGAAGGCAAAAGTCCAAGGACCCCTGTAGTGCAGTGCAGCAAGGTGGAGAGGAGATTCAAACACAGAAGACTCTGCATGAGTAGTCATGATTTGCTTCTGCCCTCATGGAGCTTATAGACTAAAAGGGAAGCAGATATTAAGTAAAAATTGAAGCCAGGTACCATAGCGCACACTTACAGTCCCAGCTACTCAGCAATATCACTTGAGCCCAGGAGTTCAAGGCTATAGTGTTCTATGATTGTGCCTATAGTCCTCCAGCCTGGGTAACATAGTGAGACCTATCTCTTAAAAAAACCAATAAAATTTTGGGCCAGGCTTGGGGGTGGACACATGTAATCCCAACTACTTGTGAGTATGAGATGGGAGGATTGCATGAGCCCAGGAGTTTTGAGAGCAGCCTGGGCAACCCTGTCTCAAAAAATATATAAATAAAATTAAAGAAATGAAAATGCCATGTAACAAGATTTTTTTGTTAATTTATTTTACATAAAACAAACTTGAGAGTTTTCATGTCTAGGATGTTTGCAGTGTGAAACCAATCTGGTAACAGTTTAAATATGGGAATAAACCACAGTGGTTACTAGATTGAATTTATTCCACTAGAAGTCTTCAATTCATTTTTACATGAAAGGGCTTTATGTGAACAAAATGCTGTTTGAACTGACTACTATCATTAGCTATAAAGGAAGCAGTGCAGTATGAATAGAAAACAGGTAGACTTTAATATGCCGCTTTTTTTTTTTTTTTTTTTT